AATGGTTTAAAATTAGTCACTTGTGCAACTTTTAATTTTTACTGATCTTCGTCCAAAGACTTTTGCACCAGACTGTACATGAGGAGACAACTCGGTGTGATGTAACGTCATTTTTTTAACCACAAAACTTATTTAAATAATAAAAAAGGAATGTAAACAATATTTAATGCAAATCGGCATCACAGATATCTGCCTGCAATAAACAGATACAGATTAAAATTTGTAAACAAACACTTAAAGCAAAAGTATTGTTAATTTCTATTTTTAATAACCTGGACCTGGTTTACCCGGATGATACGTTACTCCCGATTTTTGTCAATGATTTGTATGAATTTCTTTTTATGCAATCAATGTTTTTCAATAATCTTCATAATAATGGTAAATCTGTGTTTACCTCTAATTCCGAACAATCTTTAAAGCCAAAGAAAGAATCGCACGTAAGTGCAAGTAGATATACTTGCTTAAATTTCTGATAGCTAGAAGAAGCTTGAGATTTTAGTATTGTTCTTATCTTTTGTTTTGGAAGAATCAGAAGACTTGATGGGGTACTCATTTTAGTTTCCGGAATTTTGTCGTGCACTATACACAATTACACAGCACAGTATAATTTTACTGTTTTTGTTTGCTTGGCATTTTTTAAGTTTTTGATTTTCGCGGAGGTCTTGCTCCATTGTTAATATTTATTATTCCATACTTATTATTAGTATTTTTTTTTTTTTGACTCTTTTCTTTATAGTTGAGAAAAAATATATTAAAATATACTAAAATGAAAATAATATTTTTAATTCTTCTTTTTCTATGTCTAGGAGTTGGTGCAGAATTTTGTTTAAAAACTCAAATTCAACGAGGTGCTCCTTATGGTTCTCTAAAAGGATGTTATGAGTTAAAGGGAAATTCCAATGAAACTTTTTTTGGACTTAGTTTGCTAAATCGTCCAGGTCTAAGTTTTTCTAATCCTTATAAAGATGAGTTTACGGATGAAGATTTGTATCCTGCCTTGATGGATCCCATATCATGTACTATCCATTGTGGTGACTTCTTTTTTAAATATGCTGCTCTCAAAAACGGAAATGAGTGTTATTGTGGAAACGATACTATTGAATCATCGTATAATCAAATAAACAATACATTTTGTAATAAAACTTGTGTAGGATGTCTTGATTATAATTGTACGTCTAATGACAAGTGTGGTGGGGAAACTGTTTATACAGTTTATGATGTAAAGATTCCGGATAACAAAGTGCCGACAGACGGAGGAAATATAAATATAGAAGAAAAACTTGACATAATTAGTAATGTCAAAAATAGTAGCAATCCTCGATATGAACCTCGCTTTTTAAACTGTATTAAAGATAGTTCTGATTGTTATAAGAGGATATTAAATAGTACTGAAGTGTACGAGACGGGAGTTGATACAATTGATAAGTGCATAAAGTACTGTAATAGCAAAGGTATCTTTGGATATGCAGGATTAGAAGCAGGAAATCAATGTTTTTGCGGTAATGATTTTACTTCCAAAGATATTAATTTAGATCTAGAACATTGCAGCTGTAGCTGCGTGGGTAATAGATCACAAATATGTGGAGGCTTTTTTGCGCTTAGCGTATATAATGCTTCCAAGGTTGATATTAAAAATGAGGGTGATAACTCAACTGGTTTATCCAAAAAAAATAAAATAATTGTTATAGCAGTAGGATTATTTGTAGGTCTAATAGTCATTGGTGTGGTGATAGTATATATTCGGAGACGGAGACGGAACATGGGGGTTGAAAAGCCGATTGTGATTGAGAATCCGGAAGATGATATGAATACGGAAAATGGTAGGAGTACGGAAGATGATAGGAATATGAAAGATGGGTCGATTAAGAGATTCTGTTGCAAATAAAATACAATAAATGGGTTTGTGGTCAGGTGACAAATTAGACTGGTTCCAAGAATTCTGAAAATAATTCCCTAAACAAATAATTATCTTTCCTGCCTAAATTTTCTAATGGAACATAATTTAATATTTTTAATTTTTCAAAATTTGTTTTCATAGAAGTTATTAGAGTTATATTAGTTATATTTCAGAATACATAATTTAGGATGAGACTAGTTTTTCAAATTTTGTTTTCACGGAAGTTATTAGAGTTTGAAAAGACAAAATTTTCTTAATTCATATAATTTTCCAAGTTTAAAGCTATTAAGTCAATGTGAGAAATATTCGATGATTTTTAAACGTTTTCCTTTTATTGTAATATATTTTTGAAAATAAAATATAAATTTTGAGGCTTCTAGTTAATACTTTTATTAGACGAAAAATGGGGAGACGATTTTGTATTTTTGCTAATTGAATAACTCCATGTACGTTAAAATAGTATCGTGATATTAAGCATATTTTAGTATGTGTGATCGTTGGAGTTCAATCGAGTAATCAAAAGAGTTTGTATAGTGAAACTATTGATAAGAATTATTAAAAGAAGTCCGAGGAAAATGAAATTATATATAAAAAAATTGTTCGGAGTCAAAATTAGATCAGGAGACAATGTTTAACATTTCGGTTAGTGATCTTCAACCTATAGGAAAATCTTGTAAATTTATATACGTCATTCCTTTTTTTGCTCAGTCATAATATACAATCAAACATAATTATATAAATCATTAACTAAGAGTTAACATAATAATAATCAAATATACACACAATGAATTTAAATATATTTAATTTGCTAATATTGCTACTGAAAAACATTTTATCATGTCATGTTATAATTGGATTAAATTATAAATGACATCTGACAGTAGATCATCATTGTTATAATTGACCAAATAATTAATGAATGCAAAATAAAATTTCAATTGTTTTTTTTGGTAATTATTGAGACAAAAAGATTATCTTTAATTTATGAGAAATTCATATTTAGTAATTAATAAATTCTTTTAATTTTTTTCTCGTAAGAAAATATAATATCATTGCAACTATTTTCATAAATAAAATAATAATTTGAATCTTATCTATGTTATAAAAAAAACTATCGCTGTGCATAATTTATTTTACTTATATTTTATCAAGTTAATATAAATAATTAATATAAGATAACATATGTTAACAATTTATTCACTGGAATAAATATTAAAAACTTAGATATTGTTACATCATTTCACCATCCATTGTTTTTTACAGTATTCAATTTGCATACATTTTTTGTCTCTAGTTTAAGAAATGATAATAACAATTTCATTTTTTTTTATTAATATATCTAATACAGCCAATTACCACTAGTCGAATACAAAAGAATCGCTGTACCGAATGGTAATTCCTATATTAAAAATCGGAATTCCTATACTATAAATCAGCTAAAAATCGACTGTCATCCTATATTATAAATCAGCTAAAATCGGATTTCCTTTTCCGTACGGCATATCTTTTGTATTTGACCTGTGTACAATGATCAATTATGGTTATGTATACCAGATTTTGATAATTATAAAAAGAAAAAGTTTTTCTTTTCAATTTGTAAAATGTCTAAACCCATTCTCAAACCTAAGCTGCTCTAAGAAAAAATTTACCTCTTCTATCACCTCCTCTGGTTACTCCTGTTCCTTTTCACTTTTCTTGTCCTCCCTTGTCCTCCAATTATTCTTAAACTTCGACAATTCAAAAAATACAAAATCAATAATGATCAACCTAAAATTAAAGTTGAAGTATTAATTGATAATTCCAAATTCAATATTCTTAAAAAAGTTTGTTATCATTAGCCAAATGGAAAAAAAAATAGGACAGTTTTGACATGAATAGGATTCCGATTGATGGTAAGTTTTATATAGGCAGTCAATTCATAGGCAGGAATCCATAATTTATAGGAATTTCCATTTCATTAATTTTCATAAATAGAATGTCTAACTTGTACCATCAATTGGATAACAATTTTTGTTCATTTGAATGATAATAGCATTAGCATTAGCAAAAGCAATAGTAAGTAAAATATAGATAACTGATAATAGAATAAATACATGTTTTGTGAAATTATTTACTTTATTTATTTATATTATTATTATTAGAAAATTCTATTCATCAATAATCAATTTGAGAGAGAAGTTTCTTGTAATAATAAAATTGCATCTACTGTAATTATCTATAATGAGAGTTACATAATTGCGATGGCATTATTAAATTTATTATTACTATTTTAATAATAGAATCGTATCCTACTTTTAATATTACCTGTAATAAATTATCTGTCGTCATTATTACTACTTGTAGTATTATTTTTAATTAAATAAAGAGAATAAAAAAAATACTTTATCAGTATCATATATGCTAATTATACCTCTTCAATTGATCATTTGTATAATAATATTAATATTAATAAAGTATTATTATTCGTGTCTAAACTGCTGATAATAATATTATTAAATTATTACCCATTAAATATTTTTCATATTCTTCATTAATATATCAAATTTTTTTTTTTAATATTGATATTCTAGAAAGAAGTTGAGGAACTTGTCTTTATGCATAGTTGAATAAGTTGCCAAATTTATCCAGATGGCGTAATAAAAATTTGGACAGTTTCCTAAAGTGAATTAGATTATCAATAATCAACTACGCCAAGTAATTAAAAATGGAGGTCTTCAAAAAATTCATTGAAATAATTTTTTTTTAAAAAAAGAATATTTCAAACAAGCCCTTTTATTTTAAAAAAATAATATGAAAAAGCATCTGTAAAATTATTTGTTTTTCGATGATACTTTAAAATGTTTAAAAATTAGTACATTCAATTTAAATTGGGTACTAAATGAATATAAATAAATATTTTTTATTATAAATATATATATATGTAGAATATACCAATACTTAAAGAGAAGTAGATTTTGTTAATTTCTCTATAATCTGGTTTCACCGGGAAAAGTTTAATATTTCGTACTCCCGATTTTTAAATCTCTTTTAAGAATTTTTTTTATGTAATAAATAATCTTCATAATAATGGTAATATGGTAATCTGTGTTTACCTCTAATTCCGAATAATCTTTAAAGCCAAAGAAGAGTTTAGAGACTGGCACGTAAGTGCCCTTGATTTCAAGTGAATTTTAGTAGGTATACTTTCCTAAATTTCTGATAGTTAGAAGAAGCTTGAGATTTTAGTATTGTACTTATCTTTTGTTTTGGAAGAATCGGAAGACTTGATAAGTGTACTTATCTTAGTTTCCGGAATTTTGTCGTGCACTATACATAATTACACAGTATAATTTTACTGTTTTTGTTTGCCTAACAGTTTTTTTAAGTTTTGATTTTTGTGGAGGTCTTGCTCCACTGATAATATTTATTATCCAATACTTATTATTAGTAATTTTTTTGACTTAAAACTCTACTCATTTCTTTATAATAGAGAAAATAATTTAGCGGAAAGAAATAAATTATATACTAAAATGAAAATAATATTTTTAATTCTTACTTTTCTATGTCTAGGAAATGGGAAGGAATATTGTTTAAAAACTCAAATTCAACGAGGTGTTCCTTATGGAACTCTAAAAGGATGTTATGAATTAAAGGAAGATTCTAATGAAACTTTTAATGGACTTAGTTTGCTAAATCGTCCAGGTCTAAGTTTTTCTAATCCCTATAAAGATGAGTTTACGGATGAAGATTTGTATCCTGCCTTGATGGATCCCATATCATGTACTATCCATTGTGGTGACTACTTTTTTAAATATGCAGCTCTCAAAAACGGAAATGAATGTTATTGTGGAAACGATACTATTGAGTCATCGTATAATCAAATAAACAATACATTTTGTAATAAAACTTGTGTAGGATGTCTTGATTATAATTGTACGACTAATGACAAGTGTGGTGGGGAAACTGTTTATACTGTTTATGATGTAAAGATATCAGATAATAAAGTGCCGTCAAACGGGGGAAATATAAATATAGAAGAAAAACTCGACATAATTAGTAATCTCAAAAATAGTAGCAATCTTCGATATGAACCTCGATTTTTAGCTTGCATTAAAGATAGTCCTCTTTGTTTTAAGAGGATATTAAATAGTACTGAAGTCCATGAGACAGGAGTTGAAGTTGATACAATTGATAAGTGTATAAAGTACTGTAATAGCAAGGGTATCTTTGGATATGCAGGATTAGAAGCGGGAAGTCAATGTTTTTGCGGTAATGATTTTACTTCCAAAGATATTAATTTAGGTCCAGAACATTGCAGTTCTAGTTGTGTAGGTAATAGATCACAAATTTGTGGAGGTTTTTTTGCTCTTAGCGTATATGATGCTTCCAAGGTTGAGGGTGATGGTTTATCCACAGCACAAATAATTGGTATATCAATAGGAACGTCAGTTGGAGGTATAATAATAATTTTTGGCATTATTTATTTTATTCGAAAAGTAGATGATATTTCTATTATTACACCTCCTCCTTCTCCTCCTCCTCCTCCTATTACTCCTAGTCCTCCTCTTAGTCCTCCTCCTAGTCCTCCTCATTCTCAAGAATTACCCAACAATTAAAAGTTATCTGTTAATGGGGTTTGTACATAGTAAAACAAATTTTGAGCTAAATAGATTTTCCTCGAAATTTTTAGTCTTACTCCAGTAAAATCATGTAATATTTTTCTAGTTTATTTATTTATTAATCATAATATTTATATACAAATCTTTATGAAGTCTTGCGTCTCTTTCATAATTTTCCTTCCTTGAATCTTAAATATAATTATAGTTTATCGTAATATTTATTTGCAAATCTTATAAAGTCTTGTTTCTGGTGGTGTTAGCTAGAATGAATAGAACTTTTGTTTTATGTAAATCCAGTGGATCTCTTTCTTTAAAAATGCATTTCCTTCTTTGAATCTTACATTATCACTGATCGATGATACTTATATATCCTCTCACCAAGATGTATTTGATGCATTTTAATACACTTTTTCAATAATTTGTTGTTCTATTTAATGTCTAAACTTATTAAAAGAATTATATTACCTTTTTTAGATGACATATTATACAATGTAGTTGCTTGGGAATTTCACTTGTATGTTTTCTATGTGATCTTTTCCACTTAATAAATTCAATTATCACGATAAGAAGTGCTAAAATCGAAGATTCTCGTATTTCAAGTGTGATGGAATACAATAAGAAATTTGTCTGTTCAATTTTTAAATTATATATTTGATATGATTTCTGTAGTGTTCCTCATAATTAATTATCGCATTAATTTTTTTAAATTTTTTATCCTACATTTACAATGAAAGAATTAGTAATAAAAAAATGTTCTCTTCATTTAGTTTTACCAGTCATATTTTATGAACTAGTCATTATACATTGGCCTATCGATTATCACTTAATCAAGTCCTTGATTTTCATATTTTCTTCTCTATGACAAGAATTGCGTCTTTTTTTGAGGATAAAATACCTGGAGACTTTTTGGCCAGTTCGGCGACGCAACAAAAAATCATAGCTGATTGGCTGGCTGATAAATCCAATTTAAAATCTGATGAAATATAAGATAGTTTTTGTTATTGAAAAAGTCTTCGATTAGTCAAAGTTAATGACTGGTATTGTTAACTTTCCTCAAGATTTGGTGGTGAAAATAGTCACCTTGAATTCTGAAAATTGTGATTATAATTCCCTAAAACAAATAAATATCTTTTCCTGCTTAAATTTTCTAATAGAAAATATTATCACTTATCAATTAAAAATAAATAATTTGTTATTCCAGGATACATAATTTGGGGTTGGGCTAATATTTTTAATCGTTCAAATTTGTTTTTACGGAATTATTAGGATACATAATTTAGTATTTTTAATTTTTCAAATTTCGTTTTCATAGAAGCTATTAGAGTTATATTATATTCAGAATATATAATTTAGCATGGGACCAGTTTTTCAAATTTTGTTTTCACGGAAATTATTAGGGTTTGAAAAAACAGAAAAAACCAAATTTTCTTTAAATTATATTAATGAACAGTCTTTTTATTGTAATATATGTTTGAAAATAAAAATAAAATTTTGTACGTTAAAATAATAACGTGATATTAAACATATTTTAGTATGTGTGATTGTTGGAGTTCAATCAGGTAATCAAAAGTGTTTGTATAGTAAAACTATTGGTAAAAATTATCAAAAGAAGTCTAAGGAAATGAAATTATTTTTTAATGCTATATATAAAAAATTGGATTATGCTTTAATAAATTTTTAATAATTAATTTAATAGTGAATATATTTGGAAGCCTAATTAAAGCATGTAGCATGAAAATACAATGATCTTTAATTAATTTTAAATATTGCTTTTCAGTTTTAATTGAACAAATCTTATATAATTTAATTGTTTCTTTTAATTTGACAAGATTTAGTTTTGCCATCCTATTATTATCATCATCATCATCTTCTTCTAACGCTGGGTAATATGGTTGATCAGAAATATCAGAACGAGCAGAAATTTCCAAGTGTTATACTTATAAAAATGTAGAAGATTCTTCTGTTAAAGGTATTAATACATTATCTGGTAAATATAACATTACTATTGGAATGACTTTTGTTATATGACTCATCAAGTATAATAGGTTCTTTAAGTTTCGGAATTCCTGGAGTTTGTGATGAAGATATTTTTCTAAAATTTTAATTATTTCTTCAATATTTGGACATTCATCAGGATTACGTTCTTTTCGTATAATCCTTGAGGTATTCTTGTGCGGGATTGCCTGTGAATACTGAGACGATCACATTCACGCGAAATTTTTTTACTATTTTGTTTTATTTTAAACCATCTTTTTCATATTATCCTTGTTGTGGAGCCTTTTCTTTCCAGCAGTGACTATTTGCTGTCCCACTTGGTCGATTACGATTACGATTATTGTGCCAAGTTAACTAGCATGCTCATAGAATGTAATTAGCCTTGAGACAATTGATCCAAATTTTTCATCAATACTTGTTTTGTTTCTTGTCATAAATCTCCTTCTATCTTTAACTGTTGAATTTCTTGATTATTCAATTAATTTGTTCTTTGGTTAAATCTTTGACTTTCAACAAAGGAATATTACTTATCTTTGCAGAACCTGGAACCTTTTTTAAAATTTTTTCACAATTCCATGAATACTACTCAGAGTTACAAGGATATTTTATGTTCGAGAATATCGACATTGCCGATTCGAATCGTCTGAGGCATATAATTTTACTCTTAAATTAACCTTTTTTTGCAAATTTTTTCATAGAACTACAAACATACATATAATAAATTTTCGAGACGAGTAAAGAATTAAAGTTTTAAATTTTGAGAGAAAAAAGTCGAGGCATGTTTAATTTTTTTTATTGGACGAAAAAATAATTTAATTTAAGCCAATCAAATTTAGTGAAGCAACCCATGACTTATTAGATACTAATTTTTTATTTTAGAAAAAATATTAAGGATATAATTAATATTAGGGTTGTTATAAATTAAATGATTAAGGAAATTAATATAATGTCTCGAGGTTTTACTTATACTAAAGCTCTAGTTATAGGTGGATTATTTGTAAGATTGGGATATGCATTGACAACCTACTGAAGAAGAATTTATATGGTCTTTTATTTAAAATTTAATACTTAAAATGATATTATATTTACTCAAATAATATATTTAATCAGAAATTACCTCCAGGATTCAGAAAAGATAATAAGGAAAATACGGGAACGTCTTAATGATGGATATAGTAAAAAAAGTTGCTGGATCGTCGGATAAACCAAGTTGGTAAAAAAATTTTAATTATTTATTATTATTTTTTTTAATATTTGGGTTATAATAAATTTTATTTAATTTATACTTTATCATTTTTCTCTTTAATTTTTTTTTTTTTTTTTAAAAAAAAGTATGTGTTCCAAGACAAGTAATTTTTGATGAGAAAAGCAAAGAAAGAATAGGGAAATAGGTATTAAAAATATTATTGACGCATGTTTATATAAATAATTATCTAATAATTATCGCCATTGTACATTAGATATAATATTTTCCACATTAGCCTGAAACCAATCTCGAGGACTAATATTTATTTGAAAATCACTTCTTAATTGATCTTTATAAGATTTCTTATATAACCAAGTTAAAGGCCAAAGAATTATCCAAAGACAAGAAATTATACAAAGAATATTAAACCATTTACTTTTCATTAATTTAGAAAATTTATGATCCGATTGAACTTTAACTATATAATTGCGTATGGGATAAGTTATACGAAGAGTATTATTATATCCTTGTTGTCGAATAACGGATGAGATTGCTTTAGTTAAAGAATCATAATCCCAAATTACCACCTAATTAATTTTATAAAGATATTAAATTCTAATTCAACGAATCCAAAATTCAATAAACAGTTGTTATAAAAATACCTTTCTCATTTCAATTTCCTTTAATAAATTTTTATTTTCAACATATTCTCTCAAAAATTCCATAATATCCATATTAAGATACTTTTTATTGGGTATAATATGTAATTTTCCATAAGGCGTAATATAATTTGTGAGATCGAAAGTAAATTTAAAATCTGTAACTTCTATTTCTTTTGTTCTAGAACTAGTTTTAATTTGTCCATTCGAATCTGTATAACTGTAATTTTCTGTTTCATAATTTGTATAATAACCTGTTTTTAATTAAAAACAAAATTTTAGTGAATTGAATTTTAAGAAAAAATTTTAAAGAATTGATTTTTTGATTGAAATATGTACCATGAATTTTTATAGCCATTTGAGGTTTATCATTATGTGCAATGAAAAATCTATGTAAAGATTCAACTTCACTATTTATCTTTGAATCAAGAGACGTAACACCTTGGTCTGAAGTTTCAAATTCTGCATCTGATACTGTATATTCTGGTGGTAAATTACAATTATGGTCGCTACTACTACCAATATTATAATTATTTACATCAAATTGATTAAGAAGAGGAACATCTTCAATACATTCAAAATTTGATTTCGGATTATTATCAGTTGTTTCGTTGTGACTGATGGAAATTTGCTCAAGTTCATTCATGGCGGATCGAGCTGCTGGTGTAATATTGACTGAAGAAGGATTTATAGAAATTGCAATAGCTTCTTCATAACTTGGAGGTGGTGGTATGATATTATTGTTATTATTGTGGTTACGGTTGTTGAATAAAGTTGGACTTCTAGTAAAAACGTATACGTAATCTGAGTCTTCTCTCATTTTATTTGCTATAATAATTAATTTTATCAAATCAATTAAATTGATTTCGATTGATCGACAACAATGGGGAAAATTAATAATTATTTCGTCATCGATAACCGCTTACTTTCTCACGTGCTTGACTTTTTTTTGTTTTTTGTTATTTGACAAAGTTGGCAGAGTATATTTTGTCAACTTTTAGGAGTTGTTGACGTCCTCGTCGTGCAATCTGGTACTGTCAAGAATATTTTATAACCACAAAAAAATAATCAAGAAAACCAAATTGTTCTTACAGAGTTTTTTTTCATCGAAATTTTAACTAATTTAGTTAATTCATTTTGTTGTAATATAATATCTCACGTGCATTCAATTTGAATAAATAAATAAATGGTTTCGTGCGATTACAATAAAAAAGTTTTTTCATGTTTGATTTAAAAGCTTTAAAACATTATAACAGCATTGGTTTAGATAAAAAATATAGATAGATATATACATTCATTTTTTTTTACTGAATAATTTAAATAATAATTTATTATATAAAAAGGAGGTAATTTAAAGAGATCGTTGATCTGAAGAATTTCTTTATTTAAAATATCAAAATTCCTATAAACGTCATTATTGGATGTTATAACCCAGGTAAGGCAAAATCTAAAAATGGAAATTTTATACTTATGAAAATGCTATTTAGACGTTTTGCCCAACGACTGAATTTACAATGTACCTTTATATTTGTCATTTTTAAAATTTCCCTTTTTCATTAATAAATATAAATAGAATAAATAATGTAAAAATCATTCTAAAAACGGAAATTTTGTACTATTTAGACATTTTGCCCAACGACTGAATTTATAATGTACACTTTTTCATTCACAAATATAAATAGAATAGCGCATAGTATTTTCGTAGATTAAAACGTTGATTTTTTTCCGATAAAATCTTTAAAAAATTCCAATCAAATTATATATTTTTATTTGATGAATACAAATTGGATAAGGGTTTAGTATAAAATGCTAGCTCGATTATTCTCAAGTTTCATCGAAAATCTCGAAGAAAGAAAATTTCAAAAGTATTTGAAATCTGCTAAGGAAGGAAATTATAAAACACAAAATAAACTTGGTAATTGTTATCGGGATGGGCTCGGAGTTACGAAAGATGAAGAAAAAGCATTTCAATGGTACACGAAATCAGCTGAAGGAGGAAATCATGTGGTACAGAATAGAGTTGGCTATTGCTATGGATTCCAGTGGTACATGAAATCAGTTAAAGGGGAAAACCATATGGCACAGTGTTGTCTTGGTTATTGTTACCGTAATGGTATTGGAACCATAAAAGATGAAGAGAAAGCATTTCATGGTATATGAAACCAGCTGAAGGGGGATATCATGAAGGACAGTACAATATTGGCTATTGTTATCAATATGGAATTGGAACTACTAAAGATGAAAAGAAAGCATTTCAGTGGTACACGAAGTCAGCTGAAGGGGGGTATCATGCGGCACAGAATAATCTTGGAAATTGTTATCGTAATGGTATTGGAACCATAAAAGAAGAGAAATAATTTCAGTGGTAAACGAAATCAACCAAAGGGGGTAATCGTAATGGACAGTATAATCTTGAAACTACCAAAGATATTTCAGTGGTACATAAAACGAGCTAGAAGAGGAGATCATCTGGGACAGGATAATCTTGATAATGGAATTGGAACCATAAAAGATGAAGAGAAAGCATTTCAGTGGTACACGAAATCAGCTAAAGGGGGATATCATAAGGCACAATGTAATCTTGGAGATTGTTATCGTAATGGTATTGGAACCATAAAAGATGAAAAGAAAGCATTTCAGTGGTACATGAAATCAGCTGAAGGGGGGAAATCGCGAAGGACAATACAATATTGGAGAATGTTATCTTAAAGGGATTGGGACCATAAAAGTTGAAAAGAAAGCATTTCAGTGGTGTATGAAATTAGCTAAAAGAGGATATCATGTGGCACAGTGTAATCTTGGTTATTTTTATGGTATTGGAATTGGAACCATAAAAGATAATGAGAAAGTATTTCATTGGTACATGTAATCAGCTGAAGGGGATATCATACAGCACAGAATAATCTTGGAAATTGTTATCGTAATGGTATTGGAACCATAAAAGATGAAGAGAAAGCATTTAAGTGGTACACAAAATCAGCTGAAGGAGGAAACCGTTTGGGACAATATAATTTTAGAAATTACTATGAAATTAAAAAAAATAAAAGATGAAGCGAAAATATTTCAGTGGTACTTGAAATCAGCTGAAGAAGGAAATACTGATGGACGGAATAAACTTATCTCCTTGGTATTGGAACTACAAAAGATAATGAGAAAGCATTTCAATGGCATTACGTTGGTACAAGAAATCATCCGAAGGAGGAAATAAAATTAAATAAGAATAAAGTATAATCAAATATACAGTATATACAGTGTGGGACAAAAAAAATGAGAATCAAAACATCGGTCATATACATTTATTTATTATAATAAATCACATGA